TCTACAAGACTAGCCTTGTAAAGTAGGTTTTCCCTCTCAAATCTTTTTCTCCCGAAAAACTGGTTCTAGAGTAGAATTTCCCCCGAAGGAAAAAAGACTATAGAGTAGGTTTCCGCCACGGTAATCCAAAGCCAGATTCAATTTTCCTGGGGGTGGATCTGTGTAATAATTATAATGTGCGATTTCCCACAGAGCAATTTTCCCCCAATTAGATATGTTGGTTGTACTTATGTACTTATGTAGGGGGAGAGGCCAACACATTGATACAGGTGTACCTTCTTCAAAAGCGCGAACAATTTTATTGAAACATACAAGTATGAAAATCAAAACATATATATTTTATTTTTCTCAGTAATTGTCCAACCAATTCTGATGAGGCATTATAATCTTATTCTTTTCATCTGATTACTTTGATTTCTGAAAAGAAATGGTACACTATAATCGGTTGGACAAATTCTAACAGAATCCATCGAAACAAAAAGGATTTTTTTTTTCTCCAATTGTATTTCAAACTACATTAATTCTCAGACCATTTTTCAACTGTTTTGTCTTCGGATTTTTCCGTTTGTCGTATCATGACAAGGAGTGTAGTTTATTCCCACCAAGTCAAAATTCTCAATTTCTTATTCCCATCTAGCCAGAATTGGAATTTTCACATCTGAGTTGTCACCTCTGTATAGTCTGTTCTAGGCTTATTACCTGTAATTATTACATGTGATGTTCATTATCAAAATACATATCATAAATATTTGTTCTATAAAACATTAATTAAGCAGGTTCTACATATTAATAATTTTAAAACACATACATATATATCAATAAAATTTTTAAAAAATTATTCAAATTTTGGATCACAAGTTAGGAAAAGAATGATTTTGATAAGTGAATAAATAATTATTTATTTAATTCATCCATCAACAGAGAGATAAATATTTTTTGACAATAAACAATTGAATATATTTGGATTATTACTTAACTAACACAAGAAAGAGATGGAAAGAATGGAAAAAGAATTGAGATTAATGTATTGAGAAATAAATGCATTGTTGAAATAAAGGTGCAAAATGGTTTTGATTGTATACTTTTAGGCATATTCATTTCGCAGCTCTGTTAAGGCAGCATAAAGGGGGCGGGGCCTAATTTATACGGGAAAAGTTTACTGTGACATCACACAAATATAGCAATTCCTCACAATACGGAAAATGAAATAATTTGCGAATCTAAACTGCATAAGAGTAATGAACTACATCAAAACTTACCACTGCATTCATTTTTGTCGCTAGTTAAATCCCACACAGCAAGATATAAACAAGTCACTGATCGCAATGCACTTGACGACATGACGTCATCATTGTAAAGTTTGACGCATTTTATGTGCAGTGAGAGGCGGATCATGTAATTTTTTCACAGTGAAAAATACATTTTATTATTAAACAGAATATTATTTGAAAATCTTAGTTAGACCATTAATACAAATCTGAAACGTTTGTTTAGTGCCATTATTTAAAAAATATCGATAGAATGTATTGAATTAATTCTACCGTGTTTTTGTCTACAAGGTGTGCATGTTTCACGCCGAGGTGCCTCATTAAATCGCCTTTTCGCAAGGGCATACACTTAATAGATCTTGACCATTTTTTGAATACACATAATGGACATATTCCTTAACTTGAAAAGTGCTGCTGCCTTCCTGAAATCGATAGCATAACTTAATAAATACATAAAATACTTGGTAAAGGTCACACATATTTCGACATTAGCAAGATAACTTGAAATTTAAACTAATAAAATGCGAATTCTATTTAAAGCAGCAGCACTTTCCATAAACTACAAGTTATGTAGAAACAATCTATTACTTTAATTTTTAATTTTAACTAGGGTATGCCCTTGCGATATTGAAATTTGTTTGTGACCTACATACAGTACACATTACATGCATTTATCACGTGACTATCAAATAACGTGACCAAACCAAATTCAGTACAGAGCGGGGTATACAATGTTATTTCAAAGAATGTTAAAGTCATAAGATAATGTAGTACCTTTACAAAATTAAAATTTATTTTAAAAAGGTATGTATTTATGCACGTTTATATTCTGTTGATTTCTTCAAAGTACGCCTTAACAGTGCTGCATTATAAGTAATTTTTCCACACATGAATTAGAACTAGTCTTTTATGAAATATTTTTATATATCTAATAAGAATTGGGCATATTTCATAGGGAAAAAGTCATAAGGATAATTGACACAACTAAGACAATTTTTTTTCTTGATGTAACATTTGGTAAAATTATCATGAAATATATGGAGATAACGAGCAGTATTCAAGCTCAAAAGTCCATTAAACATTACAAAATAGGAGCAGAGCAAACACGGACCTCTAAAACATCAGAGGTGGGATCAGGTGCCATGGAGGAGTGAGCATCCCCTGCCGACCGGTCACACCCGCCGTGTGCTCCTTGTCATGATCGGGAAATAACGGAAAAATCCGTCGACAATTCAGTGTGTAAAAAATGGCCTAACAAGTATGAAAAACGTCAGTCAGCATTTGACTCAATGATAAATTGTATTTGCTGACAAGGTCATTGTATCAACCATAGAACTTACGAAATGATGACTTTAAACGAGACTGCTGATATTCTTGTTTCATCAACTTGTTTGTCAATAATTTACCTCGTTTTAGAAATTGTACATACGTAGAGCATGCTCTTGCGTATCGAATCTACTGAGAGATATATACCCCGTATGCAGGTGATGAAGGTATATAGCTGCATAAGTAAAGGAAGTTGACGATTGAAAAATTAAAGTCATCACGTTTATCATAAAGCTTGGTTGTTAGATTACCATTAACGTCTTTTTCAAGTAAATTATCTAAATATGAAACAGATATGTCAGACTCTGTGGTATCTTTTATCTCAAGCTCACCGGGATATATCGTATCGACATAAGAATGGAAATAACCATTGTTAATTGACAATACGTCGTCGATATATCTAAATGTCGAGTTGAAGGCCACAGCAAGTTTTTTTCTTCTTTTCACGTATAAGATTGTGGACAAATTCTGCTTCATATGAATACAAAAAAGGTCTGCTAATAACGGGGCGCAATTGGTACCCATGGAAATTCCAATAGATTGTTGGAAGACCTGGTCTCCAAAAACCACATAGATATTGTCAATCAGAAACTCAAGCATCTTTTTAATGTCATCTTAAGAGTACTTGTGTGTACAATCAGAATGTTTTTTAACAAAATAATTTTGCAAATGACCAATGACATGGTAAGTAAATTTACGAGTTCCATTTTTATTGAAAAAGCAACTGTCACTTATATCAAAATATCATAATATAATTTGATTTAGTCTACTGGAAATACATTAATAGTGTCCAAAACTGAAATTAAATTCTTAATGAACAAAATATGATTTTAGTTAAAGAACTAGAATTTTTAGAAAAATGTTCATATTTATTTAGCAGAGCTTGTCAATAATCTTCAAAAATTCAGCATTTTATACAACAAAGAAGGACTTGTTTCCCCAAAGCATCTGATGCACATATATAATGAACAAATGTTTAAATGATAAAAAAGATTTTTCATTTGAAAATGTAGTGCTGTAGCATATTATTAAACAAAATAGTCTGATATAAGCACATCTATTTGTAGTAAGTTTATTTGAAATGAAAACTTTTTCAAATTACTGTTATCAGTCATCTTATTTAATTCTTTTGCCATTAATGTAACATTTTGTTTTAATTATTAGTTTTATTCTAATTTTAATTCAAACACATGATTACGATAAAGAGATTCAAGAGCATTACCAGTACCTTACTTAAACTACATGTGTTTTTCAATGTTTCGGATACACAATAAAATAGAACTGGCACTTAAACATTTTTAATAAGTTAAAATATTATCAAATTATAAATATTAAAAATGAATAAAACAGAAAATAAAAAAAAATACAAATCATTTACCATTTACAAATTTAATAAAGAAAGATTTTATCAATAAATTAGTAATAATTTTATGTAATACATTTAAAATTTAAAAAAAAACTTAATTAATGTAAAATTATATCTCTTTTATTTACCATTCATTGCATTATCAGAATTTGAGTACTGAACATTTTAACCTTTTTCCGTGGTTAATCTAAAACAGACTATAGGTCATCTGTAATTAATTTCTTTTGCTCTCTCTCCCTCCACTTACCCGTACACCATTCCCATCTAGCCAAAACTAGTCACCTGTAACAATTTCATCATTTTGGCTACTTGTAAGTGGGACGACAACAGGTGGGCAAGGTGGGTATGAATGGTCGACAGGGGAAGCTTACTTCTCCATGGCACCTGATCCCATTTGTTTTGTTTCAGTGGACTCTTCTGCTTATCTACTATTTGTTATATTCGCACTTCATGTACATTATATTGATGTGTAAGAATCTCCCTAGATTTAGGTGTTTAAATACCAAGATTAAAAAAATTGTATGAATTTTGTCAAAAAATGACAGTTTTGTTTGAAATCCATAATATATTTTAAATTTTGATAAGTGATAGGATTATATATATATATATATATATATATATATATATATATATATATATATATATATATATATATATATATATATATATATATATATATATATATAGATAAATATATATATATAGATAGATAGATAGATAGATAGATAGATAGATAGATAGATAGATAGATAGATATAGATGTAGGGGGTGTGTGTGTGTGTGTGTGTGTATTTCGCAAGTTCCTTTTGCACTCTGAGAAGATCTTCAGTATAGGCTTTTTCCGTCAAGTCGACTTGACGGATAAAGCCAAGTGATGTTCCAATTGACTGCACACATTACGATGAGTCTTTCCTCCCTCGGTTCTAAATATACTGACATCGCCGAGAAAAAAAATCAAACGTTTATTTCATAGAATATGTGAAAGTGAAAGTGGGAAAATCCAAATCCACAGAAAAAAGCCTGGGGCCAAGGAGAATTGTTGATGTGATAATAATGATTGTTGAGAGCTTAAAAAGGGCAAAATCATGTTTTCATGAAGTGGCCACATTATTTGGTTATGTGAAGAAAGGACCCGACAATGGTGTAATACTCCTTAACAGCTCAGATTTGTTCAAAATGACTGGGCTATTATTGGTCGTTGTCGTGATTGAGTGTGGAGCTGTTCGTATTTGGAAGCATTGTAAGTAAACTTTTTCTTTCCATTGTATATACGCATGTATTATGCAAGCATCTTGTTATAAGTACGATTTAATCCTTAATTTCATGATTTAAATTTCAATTTTTTGAACAGTAAGGAACAAAAAAAAAACCCATTAACATAGTGTCAGTAAATTATTTGAATCCCCATTTGTTTGCTTTATATTGGGCTTATCTCCGGCTTAAGAGGGGGAAGGGTGAGGAGGAGGCAAATAACGAGTCATATGTGTGATGTTTATTCAACGTTGTAATTTTATTTTTTTTATAGACGCCAAAGAAAGTAAATGGGAGCGATTGAAAAGAAAGGTTAGTAGTATAAATTCACGTTTTCACAACAATTCCCTGTATGATTTGATGTCTGTATTTGCTTTTTGATTTAATACTTTAGTAGGCTTTTGATTGTGATATATAGAAAAAGTGAAATTTATGTCATGTCATATTACAAGGAATAACAATGACTTACTGTCTTAACCTCAAGAATTGTGACATAAACTTATTTCTCAAAATATAATAGAAGAACCAAAGTAAGGTGAAAAACGTCTACTTTTCTAAGTAGTAGAAAATAAGTAATATAATTATGCTTAAGGGAGCCGACTGGGGTTTTATTGTGTGAAAACTACTATAGAGAAACTCTTTAATTTTATACCATATGTACCTTACATTGACTTCGGTATACATGCCAAGTTTAGTGAAAATCTACCGTCTGGTTATTTTTTAGGGACCATCTCAAAATACAGGTACATTTACTATAGGATTATATAGGAAAATACCATTTCTTCGCACTTCTGAGCAAATTATACAAATGCTACTATAGACATTTTGCTCAAATTATATTATTTGATGGGTAATATTATATTGTACATTTTGTGTAAGAAACACAAAATTCCACCGTCTGGTTTCCAGAGGGGGCATCTCAAAATGTCAAAATTCATGATATTTTCCTCTTTTTATGGAGTACAACAAAACATGACAGATACCACAGATTTACATAAAAAATAATAAAAATGATTGTTAGATTCTCAATTTCCTATGTTTAAAATTTCAAGAGCATGTACTTTATACTTTTTATTTTATGGCATAATTAATGACCCCGCTTAAAGAACTTCGGTTATTCATAACGTCAAAAACACACTATTACGACGTCTATCTACCCATCATTTGAAAAATCGTTAAAAAAAATCAGTTATTTATAAACATAATTAGATTTTTTAACCTGATATTTTCTAAATTTGTTAATTTTTATAAATTATGTAAAAATAGTTGCTTTAAAAGAGTAAATACGCTTTATTTTACTATGCTGCGCGAAGTATTGCGCAATTAAAACCACAGTCGGCCCCCTTAAGTTATTAATTTAATAATTGATATTTTTTATTCTAATAGATCCTGAATTTTATTAAGCCGAAAAAAAGCAACAGGAAGGTAAAGTTTACATTTACAAACTAAGTTCACTTTCTTGTCTTGTTATTAAAGCTTATTACAGCGAATAAGCTCGTAAAATTTAATTTTGAATGAAGAGAAATATGTAACAATGATAAATGACAAGGTATGGTAACGGCCGAATCTGGCCCCTTATTTGATGTAAAAATCAGAACACAGTTAAAACTGTTAGTTTGTAGTTAAGAACTTAAAATGATGCTTGTTTTAAAACCAGCACTAATTTTCATTCAGATCTTACACAGACGCCACAAGAAAGTGCAGAAGTGTGACATTTTCCCGAATTTCCTCAATTCTGGTGGAATTTCGTCAAATTTGAGATACCTTTCACGTCGGGAAACATAGAGCACAAGCTTGCCTATCTGAGATTTTTATACACAAGATGCATCTGATGCTAGAGTATAAAATATATAAATTTGGTAGATAGGCAAGCTTGTGCTCTATGTTTTCTGAAACAAAATGTGCTGTAAAATCGATGAAAATCTGCATAAAATGAGAAAATTCGGAAATTGACATTTTTTGACCTTCCTGTGACCTCTTTGTATCCCATATCTTAGAACCAATACTCATTTTGTGGCAGGGGTGACAACTGCAGGGTTGTTTTTTTTTTTTTTTTTGGATAAACTGTTGCATCACTCTAAAAGACACCCCAAATCAGGGACCAAAAAGGGGTCTTAGCCTATCTTGTCATTTATGTCTGTACAAATAATCGTATGAAGTAGGATTAAAGTAATTTGTTCTTAGGTTTTCAAAATCAGTGGTTCAATAAAGAATATGCTCACAAAAATTTAACTGTATTGACAAATTTATATGTATTGATCAATTTTTTTTTTCAGAGTTCATCATATAGGAAAAATTATCAAATCTCAAGTAAATTTTCGAGAACCATTAATAAAAGCAAAAAACAAATTCTGCATTTTCCAATTAAAAAGTAAAAAAGGAAGTTTTGGAATAAAAAGACAAAGTTATCCAGCATTCGCAAAAACACATGTTTCTTTATGCTTAGGCAGTATTTTAGTTCTATTTCCCTTTGTGTTTTCTTCCTGTGTTAATATTTCCGTAGTAACTTTCTCCCATCATCTGATTAGGAATTACATGGGTGTGGTCGTAATTTTCATCAATGTTTGGATCCTCCTTTTCATGCAGATGACTGTACACGTCATCATTTACGTCATTACTCTCAAACGAAGGTTTTTTTGCTCCTTTGTTGTTTCGCTTTACTCGAAATTCAATAGATTGAGCAAGCGGTGAAACATTTAAAAGTAAAAACAATATAAAGCATAAAAATGAATATTCAATTAAACATGCTATTTAAATCGTTATGATTAAAGACTGCAGTTGAAAGCACATTTTTACTTAAGGAAGATATTTTTTTTTTAAAATTGTTCATATGGATAATGTTTCCCAATTCAAAGTAAGTGTGGAAGATTTTATGATTAAGTCTAATATGTGTGCAAAAATTTATATAGATTTATAAAGAAAAGAGCACAAATTCGCATATTTAAATACCAAACAAATACTTCGATTTCTTAATATTTTAGGATTCGTCGCTCGCGTGGCGCAGTGGTTAGAGCGTTTGCTCTGAAGGCGCGGAGTAGAAGTTGATCTTTACGTCGCGGTTCGATTCTAACTGTGGACCGTGGAAACCGTTCCTATAAACCGAGGCCCTTGATTCATAAATTATTTCTGCGTGACTGTATCTTTGGCTTTATTAAAATCATTAAGATAACGCAGTTACTAAACTTTCTTTAAGGTTTAAGAGGGAATTGTTAAATGCGTGGGCATTCTCCTAAGCAAAGCACCACCACCATGCTCATGTGAGCTCAAAATCTAAAAATTTCTGTCAGATGGGATCCTTATAAAAGTGAATTTCTTTGTGCTTTCTATATTAATATTTCTTCACATAGGGCAGTAATGTTAGTTTAAGAGTTGTTGTAAAATGTGCTATATATATATATATATATATATATATATATATATATATATATATATATATATATATATATATATATATATATACATATATATATATATATATATATATATATATATATTTATATTTATATATATATATATATAATTTATTCTTCAATGATGCGTGTACATCAGTGAGCTGCAAGAAAACTACTCTTCTCTTGGATATCAAACGAAAGGAATAATTGTATAATGAATTAGGATTGCAAACACTGAGTGAAAGAAAAACTAAACACAAGCTTACACTTATGTACAAAATACTTAATAATTATACACCTGAATATTTGCAAGAAATGGTTAAACAGTGTTTACCTGTTTCACATAGTTACGCATTTTGTATCACGTACCATTCACTGGAAAAGTTGAACATTATAATAGCTTTTAACCAACTACAATTAAATTATGGAATGATTTGCCAGATTGCTCGAAATCTGCAACAAGGGTAGCAAAATTCAAACAATGTATACAAAATGAAGATTTTGAAGATAAAATAAAATCCAAATTATACAACTATGGACAAAGAAAATTAAATATACTCCACTGTCAGTTGAGAAACTATGTTAAAAAGTAATCTTAATGCAGATTTGTTTAATCATAACTTAGTTTGTTCTTCTAAATGCTTAAATTGTGGTATTTTTTTTTTTTTTTGAAGACTCTGTTCATTTTTTTCTTTCCATGCCCATGTTATGATCTTGCCAGGAACTCTTTGATTTAATGTACATATATGAATGATTATGACATACCAAGAGATGTCAATATTGTATAGCCTGGTTAAGATTGTCTATCTCTTAGAGAAAATATGTTGTTCTTTGATCAAGTTCATAATTTTATAAAAAAACAAAAAAAAAAAAAAAAAAAAAAAAACACTAAAAGATTTTAGAATTAGAATATATACTAAGTATTGTGCAGCATGTCTTTCAATTTTGACCTTTAGATTTAAAGTACACAAATAGATATGGTTCTGAGCCTTCCAACTTTTTTTCCTTTCCTTTCTTTTTTATCACTTTTTAATGTTTTCTCCCCCCCCCCCCTTTTTTCCCTCATTTTTTCCTTCAATTTTATACCCTGTAACCCTTTTAAAATTAGTTTATAATACATGTCTTTGTAAAACTTCAAATATGTACAATTTTTACATTTGTACCTTGATCTCAAATGGAGAGAACTAATATAGGCCACTTTTGCCTGCTGTTTAATCCATGTTCATTGTATACTTCTTTGTATATTATGAATAAAATACTTCTTAAACTAAAAAAAAAAACTTCTTAAACTAAAAGGAATTATATACAAAGTACATAGTTAACAGCACCATCAACAACACTACAACACAGATACATGTAATTTGTTACCTGAAACATTTATCATTGATCATGAATTTGTTTAGTTACCATCTGACACAAAGTCATTCTACAAAAGCATGACAAAATATTGCAAATAAGAACTTTTTTATGTCGCTAACAATTTTACCGTTGTAACATGATACATTATATCGATTTAAACTCTAAAACTCAACAAAAATACGTGGTATGGTACATGTATATATGAGCACAAATAAATAAATGAGAACAGTCATTATACAAAAACATACCCAATTTACGTTTTTTTTATGTCGCTTACAAATTTACGAGTACCGTTGTAATAGCTTTACTATAATTTTAAAGATCAATGTCAACTCTCAGATTTATACAAGACCTACATGTACATGTTTATCAATCGACTGCCTTTATGAAATTTGATGATAAGTGAGTTTCCAAGACTTAATGTAATGAATCAAATGTAAAATACTCTCTGATTATTTCATTTGTGTAGGTAATGAATGTAAATGTAGCGACATAAAAAAAATTAGCCATACCCGTATACTGCAAAAACGCGTGCGGTTTTCTAGAAACCGCGTAGTAAGATAGTACCAATTATTTTGCTATACGTTCTTTTATAATGTAAAAATTAATTCAAAAAACCACACGGCTCAACTTATATGAAACTTGGCACAGAGTAAGAACAATTCAAGTCAAAAAAAATTTCAGGCTCTCGGGAAAATTCATAGTCTCCACGTCCTGCTATGGCATCGCAAATAACCCCTACCCTGCTTATTTCACTTTTCCTTCGTGGAAAGGATAAACATGGGCCTCTTTACACCCTTCCTACTACGCGCTTAAAAGCAAAATTTCCCATTTTTATCAATTTTATAATTTTTTCAGACCCTCTCCTTGCCATATATGCCCAAAAATAACCCCATTCCACGCAAAATACATCCCAAAGAATTTTTAAGAAAAAACCTCTCTTTTTTAAACTGGCACTACTTGCGCGGTTAATGAAATAGGGGTAAAATTAGTAGCCTGTAACCTAATAAAGACACAAGCATTGTCTAATTTTGCTGAAATCTGACATGTCGGTGTCTTTTGTCTATACAAAGTAGCTGATGTCGTTTCATTGAAATTGATGATTCCAAAGCAGAATTATGGCCCTTTAATTGATGTGCTGGAACACCTTAATCAGAGGGTGAAATGAGCATAAGACACAGTTCTCAGATTTGAAATGCTAACAACTCACATATGTTACATCTATGCCCAAAAATAACCCCATTCAACCCCATATGCATCCCAAAGAATTTTTAAGAAAAAAAATTGTTTTAATTTGCCACTACTTGCGTTTTCAATGAAATAGGGGTAAAATTAGTAGCCTGTAACCAAGAATTGGCTTGTTGACGAGATTAAACGTATATCACAAAGTGTAAAGTATTGGTCTTAATGTAGTTTGTAAGTGTTGTCTCGTCTTTATTTCAATATATTTGTTCAATAAAATGATTGTCTCGTGGATTTATCGGCCACGAGAATCACTAAACATGGAATATTGAAGAAAAGCGTTTCCCCCTTAATGAAATGAAAGCAAACCTCTTCTCGCAAAGAAATGCATGGATCTGTATCACCTCAAAATATTTCATATTGCAGAAGTAATTTTACTTCCTTAACAATTTTGTTTTATATAGAACACAAATCACAAAATCTGATAGCTAAATGAAAGCTATCTGAAAGTGACCAATGAACCTTTTGTGGTCGCTGACATATTCGTTTAAACTTCCGACGCTGAAGAGTTCCAGAAATAGTATGCTTCAAATACTTCCTTCTACTATGATTCTATATTTGTATTTGAAGTTTGGGTAAGGTTTCCCGAATCACTTTGTGTGACACTGGTCTGAGATTCGAAGAGACGTTCAGTCCAAAAATTTTAGTATCGTTGGATCTAGCTGAGATTAATTCAGGCTACTAACGACGATGTTCTCAGAGTAAAACCATTGACAACTATGTTGAAGAGTTTATTTGGTCCTTATAGTGATGTCACACTAGTACACTTGTAAATCTATTGGATTTTCGCTTATGGTTGGATATTCAAAATGGTACAATGTAAAAATTCTGTCTGTCTGTCAGTCTGTCCCACTTGGTTTTCCGCACTTTTTCCCTAAACGCTTGCGGATTTTGAGCTGATTTTTGGTATGTGAATGTATCTTGATGTGTCTTTTGTTACAGACCAAGTTTGCATTTCGTTCCGCTTCACTGATTTTTGACGAAATTGCGGCCTTTTCAATTTTTAGGGATTTTCCGCAATTTTCTTCTAAACGTTTTCAGATATTGAGCTGATTTTTGATATGTGACTTTACCTGGATTAGTAATAGATTAAGTTTGCATTTCGTTCCGCTTAATTGATTTTTGACGGAATTATGGCATTTTCAATTCTTAACGGGAACCAGATTACACTTGCCAGTAGGGGACTAGTATTGCAAATGCAATACTCTCAGAATGCTTGTTGCATCTGGGATTATTTCGCCAAGTATATTAAGTATTTGCTGGTATGAATTGCTGAAAACAATGCACAATGTTACTTTACCGTCTTCTGTCACAATCGACAACCTCGCTTTTGAAACATTTTAGTTCAGCACGAACCCGATCGTGAACCTGATTATAAAAAAGAAGAATGCTTAAAATTGATTTACTCTAGCACCTGTTGGTCAAACATGACAGAATTCAAACTTGATCTATAGTTTATCACTACAAAGGTACATAGCAAGTTTCAAATCAATAATTTTAAACCTGACAACCTCGTTTTGTAACATTAATATAGTGCAGCACGAACCCGATCTTGAACTATTATAAAAAAGAGGAATGTTTAAAACTGATTTACTCTGGAACCTTTTGGTTAAACGTGATAAAATTCAAACTTGATCTGAACTTTATCACTAAAAAGGTAAATAGCAAGTTTCAAATCAATTCTCAAAAGCATAAAGAAAAAAGGTGCGGAAAACCAATCGGGACAGACTGACAGACAGACAGAGGGACAGACGGACAGACAGACAGACGGACGGACGGACAGACTCAGAGGAAACCTATAGTCCCCCTCCGGTTTCACCGGTAGGGGACTAAAAATACTAGCTTCTATGAATTGCCCCGTTTTAAATTTCCCCAACTGTGAGTAGGGCGAAAGAGGCAAAAATAAAAGAGGGCAAAATTTTCGTGTATACAGTAAGTAGAACAAGCACTCTGAGAGTATTGCATTAGCAATACTAGTCCCCTACCGGCAAGTGTAATCTGGTTCCCGTTAAAAATTGGCAATGCCGAAATTCCGTCAAAAATTAATGAAGCGGAGCAAAATGCACACTTGATCTATAACTCATCAAGGTTAAGTCATATACCAATAATCAGTTCAATATCTGCAAGCGTTTAGAAAAAAATTGCGGAAAACCCTGAAAAATTGAAAAGGTCGTAATTCCGTTAAAAATCATTGAAGCGGAACGAAATGCAAACTTGATCTGTAACTCATCAAGATACACATATATACTAAAAATCAGGTCAATATCTGCAAGCGTTTAGAAAAAAGGTGCGGAAAACCAAATGGGACAGATTGACAGAGGGACAGCTAGACAGACAGACGGACGGACAGACTTAGAGGAAACCTATAGTCCCCTCCGCTTTCACCGGTAGGGGACTAATAAGAACTTGTGTAAATGAAGTGATAACATATATTATAGTAAACATGTAAAGATGGAACATTATATTATCCCTTTAGCAACTAATAAATATTTTGCCTAGCTCCTGAAAAAGAAAACGTGTTTGATTTACTTTTATTTTTATTACTTTTTGTTATAGATCTTCAACGCTTGCTTGATTACGCTTGGAATAGTTGGAAGTTGTTGTGTCTGTTGCTTGATGCTTCGCTAAGTTCAACCATTGAGAGAAATGATCATACAGAATTTCTTGAGTCACCTAATTTACAACTAAGGAACAACAAAAAATGCGTTAAATGAAACAGTCATATGTAAACAGTCATAAATTTGCCCTGCTCTTAAGAGAAAGATTCTTATGAAAAGTATTTGCTTTATGTGTTGGAATTATAAATAACTATAAATGCACTTGCAATAAAATAATTTGGTTGACATTACATTTCAATTTTTAAGTAAAACTGATCAAAATACCATGTATAAAGGAAATTCAATGCTACCAATAAGCAATAGCGTGGACATGGACAACGTTTTTTTTTTTTTTTTTTTTTTTTTTTTTTTTGAGAAAATCCTGATTGATCAGTTTGACCCACCATCATTTTGACACACTAACAGCCATTTATCGTAAATTCTAATAAGCAGTTTATCAAATAACATGTATAAAAAATTTGAATTTTTTATTTAAAACAAAGGCCAACTAACAACTAAATTAAATGACAAACAAGAAGACTTCAGCTTTTCCATCGTCAACTTTCCTTATTTATGTAATATTAATCCGCTATCACCTGCATGAAATATGGAGATAACGAACAATATTCAAGATCAAAGTCCATTTAAACAATGCAAATCGGGAGCAGAGCAGATACAGACCTCCAAAAATATCAGAGGTGGGATCAGTTGCCATGGAGGTGGGATCAGTTGCCATTGAGGATTGAGCATCCCCTGCCGACGGTCACACCCACCGTGTGTGCTTGTCATGATCGAGAAAAAAAGAAAAATCCGTAGACAATTCAATGCCTAACAATTAGTAGGAAAACGTTAATCAGTATTTGACTTAAGGATATGTTGTATTTGCTGACAAGACCATTGTATCGACCACAAAGCTTGCAAAATGATGACCTCAAACAGAGACTGTTGATGTCCTTGATTCATCATGTTGTTTGCCGCGTTTTAGAAATTTTTCGTACGTAGAGCAAGCTCTTCCGTATTGAATCAACTGAGAGACATAAACCCTATATTACAGGTGATAAAGGTATATTGCTACATAAGTATGGGAATTTGAAGTTATCACGTTTATCATAAATCTTTGATGTTAGATTACCATTTATATCCAAATATGAAACAAATGTGTCAGACTCTGTGGTATCTTTTATTTCAAGCTCATTGGGATATACCTAGACGGGAAATAAATGGAAGATTGATTGATTGATTGTTGTTTAACGTCCCTCTCGAGAATTTTCCACTCATATGGAGACGCCAATAAATGGAAGAAAGTATTGCTAATTGATAATACGTCGTCGATATATCTAAATGTCGAGTTAAAAGCCATAACAAATGTTTTCTTCTTCTAATGTAGAAATTTTTGAATAAATTCTGCTTCATATCTAAAGAAATATAGGTCTGCTATTAACGGGGCGCAATTGGTACCCATGGGAACTCCGACAGGTTGTTGGGAAAACCTGATCTCCAAAACCTACATAGATATTTTCAATCAGAAACTCAAGCATCTTTTTAATATCAACTTCAGAATATTTGTGTGTACAACCAGAATGTTTTGCAATGGACCAATGACAAGGTAAGTATATTTATGTGTTCCATTTTTATTGAAAAAGCAGCTGTCTGTGATGTCAAAAAGCCGGGACTTAAATTTATCGTGGGGAATGGTTGTGTAAAGTGTTAAAAAGTCGTACGTTTTGATATTATTATTTCGGTAAAGTGATTTCAAATTTTCTAAATGTTCCTTGGAGTTTTTAAGTATCCACATCTGAATTACACCACTTCTCGATTATGCTGTTGTACAGTACTCCTGAAGTTTCTCCTTCACTGTCATTAATATTTTAGTGAGGAGTAAAGAAAGAGGCTTAGTAGAACATTTACTGGAACCTGCTATGTACCTTTATAAGGATTTTTATGGAGGTTTGGAATCCACTATAAGAATGGTAATTCAAATTCATTTTAATTGTTGGGAATATTAAAAATATTTAAAACTGACATATGGTTTTGAAGAATTTCCTCCTTAAAAAGGGAGCTGTGGGTATAAGTTTGATTACCACATGCAGAATTAAATCCTAGTTCCTCTAAAATACAATTCAAATTATGAGCCTTACAAACAAAGACAATGTCGTTATCTGCTTTGTCAGCAGGGACCAGTACATACTGATCGTGTCATTTATCTAATTATTGTTTCGCTTCTGCATTGTCGAAAGATAGGAGGATGGATGGTTTTCATATAGCCCCTCAATCGCTTAATGCGAGATTTCAACATCCATTTGATATTCTAATCCATTCTGACAAAGTGTCAAGGTCTTCTTTTTACATATTTGGCCCATCGTCTGGCGTAATCTTCTACATAATTCATAATATTTATGAAATTATGACGACAGTTGAAAGATCGGGATTCCCTAAACTTTGGTCTTCTTATAATAAGTGATTTAAGGTCTTCATTATTATTTATATTTACGCCACCAATAGTGATGTGTCCAGCAGGACTATAGTTGAGGTGAAGAAAAACATAAACACATTGGAGAATTATATTTTTAGATGCTCGATATCTAGGTACTGAGGGTTTTTTTTGATAATTAAAAAGTTTGGAATCAATTGTAGATGTACATTTGTAACAAATACAAGGTGTGGACTTCAGCTTGAAATATGGTGGAATACAAGACTGGGCATTTTTTGGAATTAAAAATATTATTTATATTTAATGCGTCAATTTCTTTGTTGATATATTGAAGTTCAAGGTACAAACAGGTTGTATGAACTGTATTTTCTTCCGCGAAACGTGGCGGTTTAAAGAACCTATGATTCGCAATGATCTGAACCTGTATAATTGAAGAATCCAAATGTGAACTTCCCTTGACTTTTACAAATGGATTATGCAAAACTTCCAAAGGGACATGATAAAGTTTGGTGCAAATGTGATGAAGGACTACTCAGAAACTGTTTATTTACACAAGGTAGTGACAACGTTTGTAATAGGTTTATTTATTGTAAGCCCGATGTCCATGACTTTGCGTACATCTCTGTTACTGTTAAAATGTCCATCACATTCACATTGCTACACAGTGGACTTGAAAGATTCACAACACCATGGACACTGTCATTGCTACCATATGGAAAGACCGTGTCTAGTTTTGTATTCCAATATTCTTTACGTTCACAGGACGAAAAACAATCTTTAAGCAATCGCTTAATGGTGGCTTAAAGGTGGTTTAAAGTGGCTTAAAGAAGTAAATTTCTTTAAGCCACCATTAAACTGCAGCTTCTTGGTGCTTAATGTCCAAACTTCATTAAGCTACCACTAAGCCACTTTTAAGCTGCAGCTTAATGGTGGCTTAATATCCAAACTTAATTAAACCACTTTTATGCATCCTTTACTCATGATAAATTTTAGTGTATGTCTTTCATGTTAATTAAATTTATCAAAATATCATTGAAATTGAAGCACTCATTAACACTGTTCATACGATGGGACTTTATTTAAACGATAAAATGCTTTCTTTAGTTGATAGCATGGGAATTAATTTTACAGCTGTTGCAAAAAAAATGCATAGCCCGCGTATTGTTAATATATGTACAAATAATCATCTAAGCTCTAAGCTAAGCAGATTAAAAATTGCATTATTGATATTTACGTCACTGTACGTTTCATTGATGATCACTGCTCAAGATATCTGTACGGGTGATATTCTTAGTGTTGTTTACTGACTGATAAACGACAATGGTTTTCTTAAGAAATAAAGGAGAAAATATTCAGTGGATGTAAATATTGCCAGTAAAGATACAACAAAAAGCGAATAAATTGTTTGTAAAAACCGTTTTGATAGAGGCCAAATTTTGTTACTGCTCTTAATTTTTTGGCATGAGAATTACATCCTAGCAAACCATAGTTATGAAGTTGACAAAAAACAGTTTTCCAAGAAAGAGATATTTCAAGAGGGTTGATCCATAACTGACCCCTTAAATCAAGGGTACAAAGGAGCCAAAAGACTTTAATCCATACTCGTTAATGCTCAACACAAAAATGTTCGTTAACAATCTGCAACTAATTTAAATATACATGTATTATAAAATTTTGATATCGATGTTTTAAAAGCGTTATATAATCACAAGCTATCAACAAAACTGTATAATTATACTTAATCCTCCATCTAAAGCTTTTTGCTTCAAAAATTGCAAAAAATGCACCGATGGAGTTTCAAAGACTTTCTTCGGCACTAATATTCAGTTCATCTATAAAACTATTATATTTCTCACATAGTTTTTTTTTCCATGTACTCCCACTACTACTGCTGGATCATCTAGTTTTGAGTAATATCATAAAAATATTTAACTTTCCATATTTTTTTTCCATATTCATATCTCTGTGCATACATATAAATCTAGCTTAGCATCGGATTTAAGAGAAAGTGACGTGAAAGACTCATCCTCCACTAACATGTTCTTCTTCTTGTATCTGCCCATCTTTTAATTCCCATTTACCTTGGTATTTTATGCAGCTTTATAATGTTATTTATTCCTTTGTTGGTAGTAAATGTTTCGGACCTCAAGTCTCCTGTTTAGTTAGGGTTTCAAAATTTTCAATATCTCAGCTGAGGAGGAGGAAAGTGAGTGGAAGATCAGTCAACCTTTAACATGACTTACACGTGTGCCTGACGATACATATCCATGCAAAAGGAATAAATTTAGAAATAACAGTTGGATAAAATTCAAATAATTTTGAAACAACTACTGAAAACAAGACGCGATCAAAATACAATGGGGTATTAGTATGTAAAACTTTGATGATAACTTTCGGTTATAAGATTTTATAGCAGTAAATATTACTTTTGGATCAACCATTGTATGTGCAAATTAATACATTGAGATGCACTTCGCATGAGCAGATTTTTTAAATCTGTTCTTTTTATCAAAGAGTATTCAGTTCTGAAATGATATCAAAATTATATACAAATACGTTTATTAAGGTACAAGCTAGCGTTCTAACTTCTTATAATAGTCACTGCTTCTAATAGATGTTGTGAACAGTAGTAATGTAAATGTGAAGATAATGTATACAGCGATCAATTCTCATACATCCAGTAAACAAAACAAATCGTGAACAGGGTAAAAACACGGTCTCTAGGAAACACCAGAGATGGGATCAGATGCCTAGAAAAAGTAAGCATCCCCGGTTGACCGGGCACATCCGCCGTGACCCTCTATATTTATCAGGTATCCGGAGTACTCTGTAATTTTATATAAAAACAATGACTTCAAATGGTATGAAACCTGTCAGACAAAATAAGACCAAAGGATAGGTTGTGTTTAAGAAATAAAGTCCGCGTTATCGTGAATGTTGCAGGATAACCTCCGAGGTCGAGAAATGCTGTCTGAAATATAAAATTATTTTCCTATATAATCCTATAGTAAATGTACCTGTATTTTGAGATGGTCCCTAAAATATAACCAGACGTTAGATTTTCACTAAACTTGGCATGTATACTGAAGTCAATGTAAGGTATACATGGTAAAAATTTAAGTTTCTCTGTAGTAGTTTTCACACAATAAAACCCCAGTCGGCTCCCTTGAATCAAGTTTTGATTGAATGATTTTTATGAAATAAATAAACGATTGCTTGTTCTCAGTTTCATTAAAAATTGCCAGTAACTTAAATCCGCAAACCGGAACCGCCACCGTACTCACGTTTTTGCTATTTCATGGCTGCTTATAGAAAATGAAAGTAGACTTTTAATCTAATGTACGATACTTACTTACTATGCGGGTGAAATCTGAATTAAGTTTATGTACATAATCTTGTATATAGTGTATTCATACAAGAATTAGTAAGAACTCTGATGGACCCGTTGCGGAGTTGCAAAATTTATTAATTTATAAGTATAGATTCTGGTCGATAAGTACATAATCAAAAATTCTTGTGAATGTATCTATTTTTAATTAAGCAGGAAATTAAAGTGAAAGTTGGAAAATCCAAAATATTATGAATAGATCAGGGGCTAAGAAAAATGCTAATGGCCTAATGTGACATGGAGGCTGTCGATGTATTGAAAGGGGCAGTGTCAACAATTGATACAGCGGTCACAGTTTTGGGTTATGAGAAGAAAGTAGGGGGCAATAGTACAGGTGAAGTGAAGCAGGAGATCACATCCATACCGAAGGAAGTGTTCATCCCCCTTCAGAAATCAATGGTTTTCCTAAGAATCGGCGGACTGTCTGGTGCCATGGCAGTATCAATGGTTGTTTATGGAACTCATGGTATCATACTTTTTTTTTATTTCACATATGTACATTTAAGTTGTATGATACCAATTTAGGTAATCATTGATGTTTACATATATTTTATCTCCAGTCTTGGAGAGCGAACGGAAGGAAATAACAAATAATTAATGTCTTATTTGCAAAGAAATCCTTGGGTTCAGAATAGCATATAGTGTTGTTTTTAAAGAGCTTATCTTAGGCTTAAGAAAATAGGGGAGGGGTAGGTGCAAGTGACAAGTCATTGGGTGTTCTATTTTAAGAATCGAACTTGCAGCATTTTCTTTTTTCGTAGCTTTTAAAAATCAAGATAAAAACTGGAAGCAATTACAAAAGGTGAGTATTATAATTTAATTATGTCTTCTTTTCATTGTTTTTTGAAGCAAGTTCAGTATGCAAGATTGCAAAAGCTTTTAATCTGTTGAATAGAGAAAGTTTATGTCATAAGAAAGGAATATTGATATTTTCGTGGTGAAGGAAGGAAGGTATACATAATGAAAGCACTCATAATATAGCCTTTGAAGGAGTCTTGCATATATAACGTCATAGATCAGGCCGAATCTCTTTTGAAGTATGCCTATTTCAGACGTTTAAAAATGTATAAATTGCCATCAATTTGTACTTTTCAAAGTATGTCCTATTATTAAAATTCAATGGATTGTGGATTCATGATTCATTTAAAATCATGGATTCAAGAGAAAAAATCAAAAAGAATATATATTTATATGGTATAGACTTTTAAGGCTGTATAAACTGTATCTTGTTAAAACCATTCATTAATTACTCGGTGTTTTCTTCTTTTTTGTCTGTAGATTTACGAGAATGGGTACAAAATGCATTTGGTGCATTCTTTAGCACTTGCGTGCGCAGACATTTGTAATAAACCCTTGGTAAGTACACATATACATGTACTATGCACACTATACATTGATCGAACTGAGTAATCTACCTGTTATCATTTAGACGATTCCACTCAGTTCAGTTATGACCAATTAACTCAAGGTTTAGTTATGACCAATAAATTCACGGTTCAGTTATGACCAATAAACTCACAGTTTAGTTATGATCAATAAACTCACAGTTCAGTTATGACCAATAAACTCACAGTTCAGTTATGACCAATAAACTCACTGTTCAGTTATGACTAATACATGTATACTCACTGTTCAGTTATGACCAATAAACTCATTGTTCAGTCAACTGTTCAGTTATGACCAATAAACTCACTGTTCAGTTATGACAAATAAACTCACTGTTCAGTTATGACCAATAAACTCACTGTTCAGTTATGTCCAATAAACTCACTGTTCAGTTATGACCAATAAACTCGAAGTTTAGTTATGACCAATAACCTCACTGTTCAGTTAGGGCTTTTAAACTCACTGCTCACTGTTATGACCATTAAAAAATAAATAGCTGACCACTTGAGCCTCGACATGATTAAATAAACTGGATATATTATAAGATAATTTCCATCTCTGTTGATTCACCATAACCGCGCGTACTGTATATAGAAAAAATATCTATAAGTCTTCTGAATAAAAGCATGGCTACAGATAGCCATTATAACAATGCAAGCATCCCCATGAAATGTAAAATCAATTTGTTTGAATCATGGCCCCTGGGGCTAAGATATTGGTCGACAGTTTATATCAACTTCTGCAAGTACATTTTAGGACAACAATTTGTAAAAATATCACCTCCTTACATCAATTCTCAATATACTAAAAATAAAATTGGTTGAAATCATTGATTTAACGTTGAATGGCTTAAATACGAGGTTTTGCTTATCTTCAAATTTATTTGTGACTTACATGAGCTTTGTGGTCCATGGGTCTCCTGTTCACTATGTGTTTTAAAAAGTATGATTAATGACACAGTTCCCTCAGAGTTTCAGATTTATTATTCCTCTGTTCACTCATATAAACTTCTGCTTTAATTTTTATGATTTTCACAATCAAATTTTAAAAAAAAAATTACATAATTTCAGTATACACGTGTACCTTGTGGAGCAAAATTTGATAGAAATGACCTTTGAACTTGACAATAACAGTCATTTATCCCAGTGAGAGTTATCTCTCTTATCAATCAACCTTAATTGTGTGCATACAAATATACAATTCATACCCTCTCCTAAACACACGTACAATGAGAACCTGGACAAATGGACAACACATAATAGATAGGATTATTCTGATTTCACAAGGAAGGTAATTTATTTAGCTTTGCTTTTTGAAATTAATATAAACAATTACATAAATTATGTGTTTGATTGATGCTTTCTTTTATAGACTGGCAGTTTGTTTACCCTGGGAATCCTTCTGTATTCCGGAAGCTGTTATGCCCATGGCTTAAGTGGTAACGCAAAGTTTCGAATCATCACCTATTTTGGAGAAGTTGTTCTTATATCTGCTTGGTTCAGCATGTTGATCAATTGAAAAAAACAAGTTGCTGTCCTTTAAAAAAGGACTGCAATACGTGGACCATATGCATGTGTTTCTAAACGAAATTCAAAGAAAATTTCTAGATTTAGTAATTTTACAAAGGTGTAATTGCATTGAATTTTTTTTAACATGTATCTTGTAATTTTTATCGTTATTTAAGTCCGCTTAATTAGGCTGTAATGATAAAAAAGTCATGACCTTGAAATGATATGAATATGAAATGTTCTATCACAATTGTAATGTAGCCTTTAAAATTAACAACAGAATGAAAAGAGGCTTTAGCGTGCAGGTATCGTAATGGTTGAAATTCAACTCCATTGGTGGATTCAAGGGGGGGGGGGGGTCTGGGTGTTGGAACCCCCTTTATTTTTGCAGAAAGAGGAAGAGACAGAGAGAATTTTTTTCTGTAATATAGATATTTTACGTCTAGTATTTTCAATAGAATAAGTACTTCAATCTCTGCCCTTTCTGCTCTTTAAATTGAGTTTTTGCATGCTTCTTACTTTCCTCCGTGTACCTTCACAACCCCGGCCCCGGGCCTCGACCACCCGCACGCAACATGAAAGAAATCATCGGAAGATTCCGGCGAACGTACGGCTAAGCCATTTTTAGACCATCTTCTAAAGTAACTAACTTTAAGAAGTATGCATAAAAAGTCATGAAAGGGAGTTTGCATATTAATTAAGAGAATATTTATCTCCTCTCATTATGGGGATATTTTAATCAATGATGAGAAAGGTTCAAAATATCCCCGTAGTATGTGGGGGAGGGGGGCTCACTTTTTCTTAAAAAATCTTTTGTTATTTAATTTCAATATATAAGTTTTGATTTGCTTTGGAAGCTCCTCCGCACTTTTTGTTGCGGGAAGGTTCAAGATACGGAAAAATCAAACATTTAAAAGAAATCAAAATGTACCGAAAAGTTAGAACCCCCCCCCCCCCGAAATAGGATTGTACAGTGTGGTGCACAGGTTGTTATTTTTATTTTATTTATTTACGCAATCATTAAAAATATCTTTGTTTCCCCTAACCCGACCCTACAATCTCGAGTTGGGTAGGTAGGTAGGTAAATAATTTTTTTTCTGCCAGCAGCTTTGAAAATACATTCTGAAATTTAATGGACTTAATACCTTTATAAATAAGAAAAAGTACAAAAGAAAGCGATTTGTAAACAGAATATCATGCAAATGCCATTTAAAAGCAAAATTTCAGGTAAATGAATAAACATCTATATTCAGTTGAACTAGTGAAATATCTCAAACCAACCAAAGTAAATTTTTTGAAATCGAATTAGGAATATTTAATGAATAAAGAAGAGATTCTCAGATACGCAAAGACCGGATATCCGAGTATCAGTTTTCAAATCAGTGCTTCCATATGTAACGTACTTTTTCAAGGGCTCGAATTGTGCAGTGGTTCTAGAACATTTCGTTTTGGAGTCCCGAAGCAAGGAGCTAGTTCTAGGTCACAGGTTCAAATCCCAATGTGGGGCGTTGAGACCGGTCCTTCGAATTAGAGCGTAAAACGTAGGTCTAGTGTCGCAGTAGATGCTAGTACGAAAATGATCCCTCACTGCTCAATGGCAAAAAATGTAGATTACAAGACTAAATTTGGAGACCTTCACCTTGCAAATGTTCAAATCATAAATGAATTTCATCCCAACAATTCTAAAAAGGATTTAAAACAAAGAAACAACTAATCTTCAAGGGCCTTATTAAAACAAAATACACTGCACGTCTCAGAAAGTTGTATCTGATTCATGATTTCAAAACTATTTGGAAAGAGTATGTAAACAATATTTAATTGAACCAAACCATATCTAAATTTTATGAAAATGCCATACACAATGTCAAAGTCACGAAGTTTAACCCCTGAATAAAAGGCATTTAGAAAGGACGTCTGAATTATTTTCACAGGATGAAATAATTATGCAGACATATTAACAACAACTCCTATGGTCCCGTATAATAAACATAGGAACATAGATGAACTGTCTATTAGATCAAAACTCAAATTAAATAATATGTAGTGAATTTGATTGTTCACAAGGTGCAGAGGTGAGCCCTTCGTATGCTCATGAGGAGGGCTTTACGATGCTTGCTAGTACGTACCTTTATTTTAAAAGACAGGTTTGTAAATAGCACCGAAACACTCTAAGTCATGGTAATTATTATTGACGAATTGTTTCAGAGTGTGGGATTCTAATAAGCTAAAGGCATAAGGTTGATACGTCGCCGTTGATTAATAACAGGAATTGTGACCACATGTTGTGGACACCATTTAGTTTCCAACAGACGCTTGAAAATCACAATTTAGAACAAAATCTGCCCTTCTGATGAAAACTAATTTTTTTATAAAATTGTATTTTATAAAAGTTGATTAACATTAAAAAAAATTTGAAATATCTTATTAAAAAAACTTTTCAGTCGGCGCAATTTTATTGGGTCGGTCGCGTTAGGGGAAACAAAGGTATTTTTTATTTTAGCCTTATTTATTTATTTTGCTTGTCAACTCTTTTTGGAGGTTGCCCGCCTTTGAAAAACCGTTGCTACGGGCTTGAATTTAAGTGCCTGCGGTGTGACCTAGAACCCCCCCCCTTTCAAAAACTGCTGGATCCGACCCTGTACTGGATCACTAGAGGGTCTCGAGATCTAAAGCGATGTTAGGTTATCGATTAACTCGATCAATTTATATACACAAAAAAAATAATTTTGTGTGTAATTACCTACAATCGTAACTTCTCGGCAAAACAACGTGTTTTTCCGAGATCGCCAGAAAGGTCTGAGAAAATGCGATTAACAGTCTCATCGCACGTGTGTACATGTAGACCTAGGCTATTTGGTCTTGCAAGCACACGTGTGTGCACTGTTTGTTAGTGACGCTTAGACTGGTGACAATATTTGCTACGGACATAAAGAACTATACACCTGTTTCATAACATGTGCATTTTTTTTCTAGTGAAAATTGGAGTAAATTAAAAGTCGAATATCTTGGATATGGGATTATCTATATCTATTCTGGACGAGTTCATTGGTTATTCTGAAAGGTGGTACGTACAGGTTAATCTTTCGTTAACATTTTCTACATTGATCTGGCTACTTTGAGTGATTGTACTTTCATAGCAAAATTGTTAAATTTTATCCCCGATTGTATGGCCTATAGTTTTGTCATTTAAAAAATCGGGCTTTTTCGATACATGTAACCCATAACAACTGGGACTTGACATCTATACTAGATTTTTTCGGAAGATATTCTATCATTGGAAAGATAGATGGTACTCGTATAGCACACATCTGTAATACGCAGAATTTTTTTTTTTTTTTTTTTTTTTGATGTTTCTCCCTCTCCCCCACATGAAAAAAACGTTGCTAGAGGCCTTTATCAAGCTATATTTCGATTGCTGTCTATCCACAAAACTAATGCCGGTAAACATGATAAAGACTATCTTTTAAAACCTAATAGTTGAATTAAGTTTTTAATTCAACATGTTCAAGCTGTTAAGCTATCTATTTATTAAGTTCTTCCTACTTATTCAAAATGTTTGTACCATAGAATTTAGTTTGTATATACGGATATATGTATAGAAGAGAAATTCGGATCTTGGTTACGCCGAAGAATACATAAATACGATGTACAGATTTTAGAGCGAGGTTTGCCCATGAATGGCATATTCTAATTCGAAAAGGGCGAATTGTTCTAAGGGCAAGTTATCTTTAGAGGCGAACTCTCTAGCATTCTCGCGCATGCGTAGCCCGACGTAAGCCCATGGCATCCGGTTTAACCACGCTTATATATTTTCTGCGTGGACCTCAGGGTCCACGCAATGAACATGCTGGCGTTGTTAGGTCACTGATGTCACAGTTAAGGGAAAAAAATGCGAGGATAAAACAGTCACATTTAAGTAAATATTTGACTTCTGTTACTATGAAAGAAGATTTTTAAAAAAAAAAAAAATGCTACTTACGGTTATAAATAAAGTGTTTTTCGATAAATTTTAGTGCATGTATTTTCATTTTCAATCTAAATTAAAATTTATCAAAATATCATTGAAATTATCGAAGCACGCATCAAAAATGTAATATGATGGTACTTCTGTGCCAGATAAGGTTCCACTAAAAGCGAATGTTTGCAAGTGGCCAAATTCTGTTAATGTTCCTAATTTTATGGTCTGAGAGTTACACTCTAGCAAACCATTGTTATGACTTCGGTAATCGTTTTCAGTTTATCTAAAATTTATTAATTATCTCACATATACTTTTTTCATGTACACCCCTAACTACTGCTGGAGTATCTAGTTTTGAGCTTTTTTATAAAAGAAAATATTTTAACTTTCTATATTGCTTTTGCATGCCTACATGTTAATATAGAGTAGGGTCGGATTTACGAGGAAGTTACGTGTAAGTCTCATCCTCCACGCACGTATGTACTAGTAACATTAGAATGAAGTCAAAATTCGTCATTGTGGTTACAACTTGGGTTACAAAGATTTACTCCTATATCGGTGTAACGACGAATTTTGACCCGGGTTGAAAACTGACCCGGGACTCCTATTTCAACGTTGAATACCGAGATCAACAGAGTTGAATTTAAACCCTAGCCCGTTGAAAATTGAGCCGTATCGTTGAACTTTGGATATTTAAATAGAGAAAGACAATGGTGGTAAACTAACCACTACATTTTATGATAAATGTGACGACTTCAACTTTGATTTTTATCGTCAATTTCCTTTATTTATATAGCAATATACCATTATCACCTGCATATAGGGTTTATGTCTCCCAATTGATTTGATACGCAAGAGCATGTTCTTTGTACGAATTATACTAAAAAAAGAGGCCGACTACTGACAAATAAGTTAATGATACAAGGGTATCTAATGATCTCATTTAAAGTCAACATTTTGTAAACTCTAAGGTCGATTCAGTGACCTTGTTTACATATATAATCTGTCGTTAGGTAGAATATTGATTGACGTCTTTTATACAAATTGTTTGGCCATTATTTTCACACTGAATTGACCATGGATTTCTCCCGATCATGACAAAGGGGTAAGACTGGTCGACAGG